CTGTGTCTGTGTCCCCCCCCACACGGTGACGGGGGAGGGGGTCTGTGTCTGTGTCCCCCCCCACACGGGGGCGGGGGTCTGTATCTGTGTCCCCCCCCACACGGTGACGGGGGCGGGGTCTGTATCTGTGTCCCCCCCCACATGGTGACAGGGCGGGGGTCTGTGTCTGTGTGTCCCCCCAACACGGTGACGGGGGCGGGGGTCTCTGTCTGTGGCTCCTGGTCCTGAACCCTGTCTGTGTTCTCATTTGCAGGAAATCCACTTTTGACATGTTCAATTTTCTTGCATCACGGCACCGTAAGCTTCCTGAGTACGGATTTGTTGATGAGGAGGAAGATGAGGTGCATCTAAAGTCAGCCAGGTAACTAGCCACACAAGAAACAGGTGATGGTGTAGGCCATTTGGCCCCCCAAGGCTGTTGTACTTCTTCGTAAGGTCTTGACTGATATGAATGGAGCACAGGCTTCCTTTTCCTGGCTGCTGTGTCAGCTGGAATATTCCTTTATAACATTAGGTCACGCTCCATGGTATGAGATGGGGAACATGTGTTATGGAGCAAGTGTTTATCACCGCACCTGGTATCTATAAATGCATTTTTTAAATTGCTAATATATACTTTTTTCTTTTAAAAACATTTGCAGACACACGCAGTTACTGAAACATTTCTACACAGCCTTTGTACACGAATAACAAAATAACATTGTTTGCAAAGAAACCCAAGACATTTCTTTCTTATTTAGGACAATATTTTACATTGAGGCACCAGGAGGGTCTAGTAACTGAACGGCATCCCATTATACTTTGGCAGAAAGACGTCAGACAGTGGTCTTTCCCCACTGTGCCTTTGGCAGGAGCTGCCCCAAGCTTTAGTGTGTCCCTCAGCACATAGTCCTGGACCTTGCAATGTGCTGGTCTGCAGCACTCAGTCAGGGTCAACTCGGTGTTGTGGCAGATCAGCCGGTTTCAGGCAGACCAAAGAGAGTCTTTCACTGAGTTAATGGTCCTCCAGGCACATCTGTAAGTCATTCAGCCCGAAATGTTAACTGTTTTTTTCCTCCACAGATGCTACCAGACCTGCTGAGCTTTTCCAGCAATTTCTGTTTGTGTGTGTGTGCATATGTGGGTGTTTATGTGCGCGCGCACACGTGTGTGCACATGTGGGTGTTTAGGTGTGTGCGTATTGGTGCGCACGTGTGTGTGCATGTGTGTATGTGTACAGTCCCAGGCACTCGTGTGACTGAGTAGTTCAGATAGTCCTCAGCATGTCACAGGGAGGCAGTGGCCTTTTCCTGTTATCACTGGGCTATTAATCCGGTGAAATTTCTTTAGCCAGAGGCTGGTTAATCTGTGGAACTGATTGCTGCACAGGGCTGTGGAGGCCAAGTCATTGAGTGTATTTAAGAAACAGATACATAGTTTTTTTTAATTCATTCATGGGTTGTAGCATTTATTTCCTTTTCCTAATTGCCCAGAGAGTAGTTAAGAGTCAACCGCATTGCTGTGGGTCTGGAGTCACATGTGGGCCAGACCAGGTAACGATGGCAGTTTCCTTCCCTAAAGGACATGAGTGAGCCAGATGGGTTTTTCCATCATTAGATTCTTAATTCCAGATTTTTTTTTAAATTTAATTCACGTTCCATCACCTGCCATAGCAGGATCCAAGCCTGGGTTCCCAGAGCATCAGCAGACTTTCTGGATTAATACTACTAGGCCATCGCCTCCCACATAGCCAGGGGGTCGAGGGTTATGGGGAGAAGGCAGGAGAATGGGGGTTGAGAAATAAATCAGCCATGATCTAATGGCGGAACAGATTCAGTGGGCCGAGTGGCCTCGTTCTGATCTTGTATCTGAGGTCGCGTTTGAATAGTGACGGAGCAGATGGTGGAATTTGAGGAATTCAGTGAAAAAGATCTGGAATTGAGAATCTATTACCGGCTGTGCAAACATTGTTGATTGTTGGGGGGAAGCCAGTTGGAGTCACCAAAGTCCTCAGGCCGTCCTTATCTGGTCTGGGCCTACATGTGACTCCAGTCCCACCGGGTGACTGTTAACTGCCCTCTGGGCAATTAGGGATGGGCAATAAATGCTGCCTAATCAGTAACAGCCACATTCCTGTGACTGAATAAAGAGACAGTGCTTGGTAAGGTGGAGCCCGAGAGCACTATATCATTAGATCTCATGATTTGGTGAAGGTATTGAGCCAGTTTCTTAAAGGTAAATGTCAGGCATATCTATCTCCCATACCCCCGAATGCTTATTTCATCAAAAATCTGCCCATCTCTGCCTCAAAAAAGATTAATTTCATGGAAGATAGTCCTATAGGCACACTACCCCCATCCTCCCCAACAGAAGAGATTCCTCCCCATCTCTGTCTTCAATGGAGGACACCCTTCTCCCGAAACTGTGCCTCCCTCTTGCCCTACGAGGGGGTAACACCCTCTCAGTTCCCCACCTCCTCAGGATCTGATCTGTTCCAATCCGATCGCCCTCTCATTCTCTGAAACTGTGATGGATCCAGGCCCCGACCTGCTCCAGCTTCCCTCACTCGGACAGATCCCGCGGCCCGCTCTCGCCTAACCCCTCCCACCCCACGCGCGCGCTCGCTCACTCACTCACACTCTCACTCACTCACTCACTCACACTCACTCACTCACTCACTCACTCACTCACTCACTCACTCACTCACTCACTCACTCACTCACTCACTCACTCACTCACTCACTCACTCACTCACTCACTCTCTCTCTCTCTCTCTCTCTCTCTCTCTCTCTCTCTCTCTCTCTCTCTCTCTCTCTCTCTCTCTCTCTCTCTCTCTCTCTCACACACACACATTCTCTCTCTCTCTCTCTCACACACATTCTCTCTCTCTCTCTCACACACACTCACTCACACACACTCACTCACACACTCACACACACACACACTCACACACTCACACACTCTCTCTCGCTCTCTCTCTCGTACGCACGCACACGCACCCTGCAGGGAGAAACCAGCTGAGGGAACCTTCTCGGAACAGTCTCTCCCACTTATACAGTCATACAGCACGGAAACAGACCCTTTGGCCCAACCAGTCCAAGCCAACCATAATCCCAAACTGAACTACTCCCACCTGCCTGCTCCTGGCCTATATCCCTCCAAACCTTTCCTATCCATGTACTTATCCAAATGTCTCTTAAACGCTGTAACTGCACCCACATCCACCACTTCCTCAGGAAGTTCATTCCACACATGAACCACCCGCTGTGTAAAATATTTGCCCCTCGTGTCTTTTTTAAATCTCTCTCCTGTCATCTTAAAAATGTGCCCCCTAGTCTTGAAATCCCCCATCCTAGGGAAAGGACACCTACCATTAACCCTATCTATGCCCCTCATTTTATAAACCTCGATCAGGTCGCCTCTCAACCTCCTCAGCTCCAGTGAGAAAAGTCCCAGCCTCTCCCCATTACTCAAACCCTCCATTCCCTCCAGGGGAATGGTAAATCTCTTCTGAACCCTCATGCTCCCCACAGGCAGGACGTAGAGGCAGGGGCTTGAATCTACACCAGCCGGAATACTTCGCAACCGGGATCGATGCTGGGAATGGGAGGTGGGGTGTGTTGAGGAGGGGGCTATTTGAGACAGTAGGGGGTGGGGGGTGTGGTGTGGGTGACAGGATGTGGGAAAGGGTGAGTGATGTATGGGGTGGGGGAGGGAGTGGAGCGCTGACGAGATGCCAGGCTGTAATTTGTTCTTCCTTCCCGGATCATAGGCGAGCGACCAGCATGGACCTTCCGATGGCCATGAGGTTCCGTCACCTCAAGAAGACCTCGAAAGAAGCTGTGGGTGTTTATAGGTAGGTGTCAGCTGTCCCTGCTCCACCTCCTCCGACCCTCTGTCCCCAAAACCCGTCAGGAACCCTCAATGGACCCAGCCCACGAGAGAGGGGTCTACATCAAAATTCTGAAAGGGGTTTCGATCAGGGAGATGTAGAGAAGAGGAGGGGGGATGGGTTGGGGTTGGGGTGGTGGGGGGGGGTGGGGGTGGGGAGGGGTGGTGTCATTTGGGGTATGGGTGGGGGGGGGGCAGTGTGTGGGAGGGAGAGACCAGAACGAGTGGGCCATTGATGAGAGAGAGTCCCGAATATATCCAATGGCGAATTCAGGAGAAACGTCTTCCCCCCTCCGCCTCTCCCCCGGAGACTTGGGGCAGGGGGGTTGTGTGATCGGACTTGCTGT